CCGCAGACCCGACAGGGTGGTCTTCGGTCTCTGGCTGTGGTTCCGTCGGTCCGACGTCCCGTGGCGGCTACTAATCGTCCGTCCCTGAGAACGCTTCAATGATGTCAGGCGGTCCGTCGGTCTGGAGGCCGATGTCCACGTATATGATTTTCCCCAGCAACGCCGCGGTCTGTGTGAACCCGTCCGTCCAACCGAAGCTCCGATGCATTGTCTAGGAAAACGCATCACGGGTGGCCGCCGAGCCGGCCGTACGCTCGACCACGGCAGCGGACCCGCCCGCCACCACTCGCTGCCGTAGACGTAGCCAAAGTACCGGGGTTAGCCCGCCATCGGCTTGGCACGACCTGTGGTTCGGCGTTCTTTCGCTCGACGGTTACGTATTCATGTCGAATGAAACTTTCTACATTTATACTCGAACACTACAACAATATTACGAAAGCTCGACTATGTTTCGATGGGTTTTAAAGGATACACAAATATGCGATATGTGTATCGTTCGAAGTTTAACTGTAAACAGGTAACGGTTGCCGGTAATCGATCGGATACGTTGCCGATCGTCGCGTTTTAATATGGCAAGGAGAATTGACGAGACACACACGTACATTGTTACTGACCTGTACATATTTTTAACGTAGAAATCATTTCGGGCGACTGCGGTTTCGATACGTTTCGGAAAGCGTCAACGAGTTGTTACGACAAACTCGCACTGTTGACATTGACCGGTACATATTGTGCATGCGGAACCACGTTTCATTCGTTAAGATATTTTATTTACACTTAGATATTTTTCAATTGTGGATTAAAATATTCGTTCATGATTATAAGTTATTTATTCAATCTTGTACTGTTTTAATTCCATTAAAAATATTACACGATAAAATGTTTTAACAGATCTATGATTTCACAAATGTATGAACTATTTCAAAACAGATTCGTATAAAATACTACTAATTAATTTATTGATGTACACCGTACAGTGTTTTTATGTATACTTTCCTGTCTAGTTTGATGGTACACTATGCGCGTTATTTTACGGATTTTTTAATATTTTCCTCAATAATTGCGAAAAACAGCGAACATTGATTGAAAAATGTACAATATACCGTTTTTCTACAAAATCGAATTTTAGTTTCTACCGTAACTTAAAAAATAACTTCAGAAATCAAATAAATTTTCTGTTTTGTTGGCCTTGCATTAGTTTATATTAATTTATGGTAATTTTTTTTTTTTTTTTATTGAAACTTTGTAGGTTTAAAATTTATTTTAACATTTACAGAATAAAATTGGTATAAGCTTGAATATTAAGACAAGCATTTAATTTAAAATAATTTAGATATAATTAAACGGATAGACCTGTCTCACCGATCAATGATGATAATCGGTTTATAACAAATTCAGAATTGGAATTAAGAATAAGAGATAGAGTTAGTTGGATATCTTGAGATTTTAAAAAATTAAAAAGAGTTAAATGATTAGAGGATAAAGAGGGGCAGCTAAAGATAATATGGGAGAGGTCGCAAATAATCTTTTAAGAGTGTTTAGAACAGTAAGGGGAATCGTTTAGAGAGAGTTTGAAGGAATGGGAAGGAAGTAGATAATGACCGACCCGTAAACGACTAAATTGTGTAATCGAGTTTCTGGATAATTTTAGATTAGAGAACCAAGTTTTTTTTAAGATGACGGGAACAACACTTATATATTTTGAGGCGAAGTTAGCCGGAAGACTATTCCAATAGGGTTATTTTTGGTAATATTGATAATATTGATCTGACTTAACATAGGAAATAACGGATTTTCATGGCAAATATTGAAATTCTACGAACATTCTGTGCAGTGAGAAATTTCTGATAACATAGATATCAGAACCATACTGTTATCAATTCAATTTTAACATGTTTCAAATGTGTAACAAAATTATGAATTATAATATTTTAAATCTGATGATGCAGTAACTAAGAATTTTAATCTAAATAACCACATTTTTAATTATAAAATTAATTTAAACAATATAAATTATTAGATTGATGTGAATTTGTCAAATTGAAAATTTTCCATTCCTAGTGAGTATCTGTTTACAATTATTGTGAAATGGTTACAGTATGTTTCTATACCTTATGTATATAAATACATTAAGTTTATATTTAACATTCTCTGTTAAACTTTAAAGCAATAATTTACTCTCTTGATAACTACATTTTAAACTATTTAATAAAATATATAATTGTTATGAACTATCAAAACTGATAAAATTTATATCTTAATACTTTTACCAGTTAAATCCTAACATCAAGAAAAGTACTACTTAATAAGTTATTCTAAATTTTCATTTAGTTATGTTACTTCTTATACATTGGTCTTTTTTTTCTTGATTAAATATCATTAAAATGCATTAATTTACTTTTCCTCAATTATAATATTGAATAAATATGATTTTTTTTCATAGTATAGTATTGAAATGCACCACAGAAGAGAAACTATTCAAACAAAAGATGATGAAGATTTACTAGATGAGTTATTAAACAAAACTAATTGTGCACATTTACATTATAAAGTACAAGATTGCATTGCCACAACTAAAGACTGGAGGAAGTGTCAAGCGGAAGTGAAAGAATTTAGAAATTGTATTGAAAAAAACCAAAAACTTGCAAATAAGAATAATGCATGATCTTTTTAAGCAAGAATTCATCACTCCATTTTTAGCTGGCCTACTGATGGGTACAGGAATTGCATATGGATATCGTAACTTCCGATTTTTACTTTCTGGGCCATCCAGAACCATTTCATTAAATAATAAACTTGTATTAGTTGTTAGAAACGATTTAGGCATGTCCAAAGGCAAAATAGCAGCACAGTGCTCTCATGCATCTGTTGAATGTTATAAAGCCTCAATTAAATACAAACCTCGTATAGCTAAAATTTGGAGTGTGACTGGACAAAAAAAAGTTGTATTAGCTATAGGCAATGGTGAAAAAGGACTTACAGAATTGTCAAAAGTTGCTAAATCTTATAAGGTACTCTCTTGTATCATACATGATGCTGGAGCTACTGAAATAAAATCTGGAACTCCTACTGTAATTGGCATTGGACCAGATAGTTCTGATATTATAGACAAAATTACTGGCCATTTAAAATTAATTTGAAATATAGAATTTATACTATGTAATTAAAAAGTAAAAAAATAAATTAGTGTATAATTTACTAAATGACTTTTTTTTTAATAATAATTCATGACTGAATAATTATTATTAATTTACATTTAGATAGTCCTGACAAATACCTATTATATAATGTCTTACCCTATTGCACAAGTATGTCTTGTTTATCATTACTAAGCATTCTCTTTATTTTTGAATCTAATTTAATCAAAGTTACTATTGGAAATATAATAGCTTATAATATATTTTTTTAATCCCATCTAAAACTATACATGTAAATGTTAAACAATATTTTCTTTGAGAAGTAGTCCACATAGACCTTATTATATTGTATATTTTTATATATATACATATATTTTATGTAAAGGTAGTGCCCTAGTATATGGCATAAGTACCTAGATAACACTTATCTCCTCAAATACTATCAATATCAATACAATAATATCATCTCAAGTTCATAATTGCTGCCTAATGTTATGTAATTTTGACTATTTTACTTAGCATGATATAACATGAAACTTGAAATTTAAAGTTCTTTTGTTTTTATAGTTCATGATTTAGTATTCTACCATTGTAATTTTTACAGCCTATTTGATTTAAAATACTATCAATGGTATACTAATGTTCAAAGCATTATCCTCTCTATCACGTATTGCTATTAGAAACCCTTCATCTTTAGGTAAGCATATTATTCTTACAACTGTGTGCATATTAAGTTTCAATATGCTATGCAATATGTTTTTGTTTTAGTAGAACGGTATTTAACTACAATGCATAGTAATATCAGAACTAAGGAGTTTGATAAATTTCAAGTAAAAGTACTGCCAGCTCTTTCTGACAACTTTATGTATTTATTGGTTGATAATGAAACAAAAAAAGCAGCTATTGTTGACCCTGTAGCACCTGATGTTGTATGGGATACAGTTCAGAAGGAAAATTTGAAACTAACCACTGTACTCACAACACATCATCATTGGTAAAATATACATATCAATTTCTACTTGCATATAAGTACATACCAGGTGCGGATCCAGAGTAATTATGAAGGGGGGCCATTTTATATTGTGGACTTAATATAATATATAAAATTCAATAATTCTATAATATTATAAGTATTACCGTCACCATAAATATTTCTCAACACTGTAAAGGAATTAACTTATAATTCAGTTTTTAAAAAATATGTAGGTAAATTGAAAAGAAAACTTTTTATTTGAGAACAATAAAAAAAAAATTAAATATGAAATTAAATTGAAAATTATTGAGCGAAATCTTATTTTCTATTGGTTTTTAAAAACATGTCAATACATAGTTGCTATAGAAAAAAATATAATTTTTATCATTGTTTGACATTTAATATAATAATTTTTTTTTTTATTTTGTGACATTAGAGGGGCCATCACTCCCATGCCACCTCATTGTATCCACACCTGGTACATACTTATCTTAAACTTATTACAGTTTAATGATTATTAATCACCTTAATATGTTGTACATTTTATATTTGAATAATAATAATACATTGTAATACTTACATTTTATAATCTTTAAAAATAATTCAGATTGAAAACATCTTATTTACTTCTAATATGACTTCATCCTAAATAAAATGTTGAAACTATGCTTACTTATTTTATAGGATATCAAGGAAGTAAAACACTTTTGAATTGTCAATGTATTGAATGCACAATAAATTTGTTATAACAAGTTAAATGCTATACATTACTAAAACTGTATGGATATCAAAAACAATCAACTCTCTTAATTTATTTTTCATATATTTTTATGGTTATACTTAATAATATGCATAATAATACTGTAGGTAATACACCATTTATAAATAATAACTATATAATTTTTAGTTAGGTCAAAAAATTAGTCTTTCAACAATTGAGTTTAAATACTTAAAGTTCTACCATAACTTTGGTAAAATATTTAAATTTAACTGTCAATCATTAGTTAATGACTTTGATATTGGTTTTTTAAAACAAAAATAATATAGTTCAATTAAATTGATTTATAGTTTAGAATTTTCTTCTTCTTCTGGCATGTCTACTCTCTAAAGTTTTCGCTGCCATTACTAGTTGAGAATTGTAATAGAATTATAATTAATAAGTTTCATGAAACATTTAACAGGGATCATGCTGGTGGAAACAAAGAACTAATTAATAGTAATAAAAATGATAAATTTATTGTCATTGGAGGTGATGACCGAATTTATGGTTTGACTGTTATGATTGATAAACATGGAGTTGATCTTCAACTGGGATCATTGAATATTAAATGTTTACGCACACCTTGTCATACCACTGGTCATGTTTGTTATTATGTTACTGCTGGAAAAGAAGGTGTTGTTTTTACAGGTAATTATTGAATATTAAATCCAAAATATATTTAAAGAATTCATAGTGATTTTTTAGTGGTGTATATAGTTTGAGACAAAATGGAAATAATTTTATCTAGTACCATTGGAAATCCATTAAATTTACAAACAGTTTGTATAAAGTTACCAAAAAGTCGCAATTATGGTATTAAAAAAATATCTTATATATTATGTGCACTGTTTAATATCCTTATTTCATTGAAGATAGTTATGACAATTAGATATAGCATTTAAAATTACACAGGGTGCGGCAGTCAAATCCGACAATTTGAAAAAATAAAAAAAATAGAAAAAATTTTTTTTATTAATTTTTCGTCAAACAAATAAAAAGTACACAAGTGGAATTTTATGTTATATATTTAAAAACTTCATTTTTTAAAGATTGTGTTGGACAAAAGCTTTCCTTGGTTAGCCACACATTATGAGAGTCTGACACTAAAGCTTCCCATGATGTTGTGAAGTTTTTCCAAGGTTATGTTGTTGATTTCAAGGTGAATTCGCTCCTTCAAGTCAACAATAGTCCTTGGTGGGTTGTTTTCAAACACCTTGGATTTCACATAACCCCAAAGAAAAAAAATCAGGAGCCGTCAAGTCCAATGAATGCCTAACACAATGTGTGGCTAACCAAGGAAGGCATTTGCCCGACACAATCTTTAAAAAATGAAGTTTTTAAATATATAACATAAAATTCTACTTGGGTACTTTTTATTTGTTCGGCGAAAAATTAATAAAAAAAATTTTTTCTATTTTTTTATTTTTTTAAATCGTCGGATTTGACTTCCGCACCTGTATATTAAAATATGGAAACAAGACTAAACAAACAGCCAATTTTTTAATGATCACCACTACTGGTCATTAAAATTTCACACATGACTAAACATTATTATTTATTTTATTGTTATATGATAACTTAGAAAATATTTTCTTTTAATTGTAAATTATTTTGTAAAGAAAATTGGTAGTTGATTATATAATTATTGTAAACTCATATAATTTTAAATAATTTTAATTGTACCATTTTTTCAGGAGATACATTATTTTTGGGGGGCTGTGGTAGATTTTTTGAAGGCACTGCAACACAAATGTATGACGCATTAATCAAAATATTATCGCAATTGCCTGATAATACGGTTAGAAATTTTTAATTACATCAGTGATATACTAATTTATACATCTTAATGCATTTATACAAATTTATCTTTTCAGGCTGTGTTTTGTGGACATGAGTATGCAATTCAAAATTTAAAGTTTGGTTTACATATTGAGCCAAACAATCAAGATATATTGTCTCAATTAAAAAACATTGAAAATAAACGAGAAGTAAAAGATCCTAGTGTCCCATCAACTATTGGTAAAAATAATTATATTTAATTCATAAATATAAGTGAACTTTTGAGTAGCATTTAATTCAGAGGTTCTCAAAAGTTTATTATGATTTTAATTTTGGTAGGTCATTTTGAATTTTAAAATCTATCATTTTTTTATAATGAATTCATATAATATTTAACAATTGATTATTATGAAATACGATATAGTACGATATAATACAAAATATTATATAGTATTTTTCTGTTTTTTTTAATTGTAGTTTTATCATAAAATTATAATTGCTAATGAAAAAAAAAATAAAACATTTCCAAAATGAGTTGTACCATAACAAGTTTGGGAACTTCTGAATTAATATATTAATTATATATTTATTTAGAACAATTATTGTACTATAGCATTAATTAAATTCTAGGATTGGAGAAGCTCATTAATCCATTCATGAGAGTTGAAAAAGAACCGGTTCAAATAGTCACTAAAAGTATTGGTGATCCAATTAAAACTATGCAGATTTTAAGAGAAATGAAAAACAAATTTTAAAAATAAATGTTTATTACAATAATTTACATTTCACCACTATGTACACATTTTATATAATATTACATAGTTATATACAAATATATAATATATATTATATAAATTCTTAATTTAATTGATTCTATAGTTCTTACTGAGAAGATGAAAAATTAGATGTTTGAGTTTGTACTGCACTAATAGATTTATTATAAGTGTACTCTTCCATATCAGCAGCATATTTTTCTTTGGATTTCTCATACATATCATAATAAATCTAAAACAATTACAAAAATATTGATGTTATTCTTTTGAAAAGAAAAAAGTGCAGAGCAAACCAACTAAAAATGTATTATAAAATAATAATATAAAAAAATGAAGTGTACTAAAATGTAAAAGATAAATGTATTATTAAATTATAGTGGACTATAAACTAGATAATATATTTTCTTAAATAAAAATAAATTGATGCAAATCTTATACAATTTTATAATGTATACTATAATAACAAAATATTAAAACTTTTTAATATTAATAAAAAAAAGTACTCTCCATATTAATTACTTGGTAATAAAATACCATACTCATTACAGATTAAAAAATAAAATATCTTGCTATTTTTATATGTCAATATAAGAAAAAAATCTACTGATTCTATCTATTAAAGATAACCACATAAAATACCTTAATAAATAAAACAATAAAATTAGTTTTAACATAACTAAATATTACAAATTTAAAATTTGTTTTGCTAAACATAAATTTTTAATATTCACTCTTAAGTCTTATTACTAGTTTAAAAAATTAAATATTTAAAGTTCCTCAAAAATTGTTAAAATTAAAAAATAGTAATTCCATTTAGAAATCAAATATTAATATAAATATTGTTCAAGTAATACATTTAGATATTAAAGTTATTCTTTATTTAATATGAATCTGTTAAGGTGTATGACCGCTTAGCGATGAATGTTAACAGTTACCAGTGTATGTCAATGTCAACCTTTACCACCCATTTTGGTAAATGTTGTCTATTTTTACAAACACCTAACTTTGCAGACATTTACTGGTGATTATTTACTTGCACATTAGTTATTTGGTGAATGTTGACATATGAATAAAAATTATGAAATTACAATTATTTTACAATTAACAAATAATAAAAGATACAATATAATTATAATTTATTTATTACAATACGGTAAGCTATCATTGCATTAATTGTTACAAGCTATATCCTCGTTCTTACAACTTTTTTTTGTTAATATTTTTGAACTTGTTCTATAATTTGTTTATCATTCTGGTTCGCTCTACATGACCAGTTTTTATATGAGCTTCTTTTTACTTAATTACATATATATGCTCATTTTTTACATAATAAATAATTTTAGTCTCATCTGCCTTTAATGAAACAATTAACCATCCACAATACTAATAATGTCAAACAGATTTATGCTCCTGTAATCAATACGTTGTTTAATTTTTTCTTTAGCACTAATTTCATCACTTATATATTTATTGTACTTTTCGGTACTTAAATAAAAACAAAAAAGTGAATTAAAAGTGAATACAATTTTTAATAAAACATGTCTTTCATATTTTCAATTTTTATCCAAAAAAACGAAATGCTGTACTAAGTTTAGTATATGAGGCAATAATAATGAAGATACACACAACAATTGTACATTAGAAAATCAGATTGTTAAATCTCTCGAGCAATAACAATAATAATACCGGAACATATTCTCATACACAGATTTAAAAAAAATAATTTAATTAACAACAATTAACAAAAAAAAAAAAACAATTTCAGATGTCTTATAATATATATAGCGCTTCAAGTGTGATCAACATTTACTGAACACTATTTGTAAATTACCACAATCACCGGTGTATGATAGCAAAGAGGCTATTTTGGTAACATTCAATACGATTTATGGGTGTAAGTTGACGTACACTGGTGACTGTCAACATTCATTGACTGAGGTCATACACCTTCATATATCTAACAATTTTATTTAGAATTAATTTGATCCCTTAATATAAATTATATTTATTTTATAGAGAAGTGTGACAGAATAGAAATAGTTAAAATAAAATTAAAATGTTAAAGGCTATGAACAAAATCTGAAATTTCACACTCGCAAGAGTAGAGTTCTATAATATATACAGATACAATGACACATGAATATGTCTTACACATCATATAAATTAGTGAAATACATAATTTCCCTGAAAATTATTTGAATATCATAGTAAATTCATAGTCAAAATTATAGTAACAACTAATTTTGCTTTTTCTTAAAATATTTAAAAAAAATTTACTATGATTTTAATGGTGATATTACTACAAATTTACTATGTCAACCATATAAATTTTAGGGAAGTAGAGAATTGTTATTATATGAGTTATATTATTTGTACTTGACGAGACATTTCAGATAAAATATTGTTAAGAACTTCAACTACCTATAAGACTACCTATATGTCATGTTAAAATTCACATGTTTAAAATGTTAATAAAATAAATCTAACTACATATTATCATAATTTTGTTAAAAATATATTTACATTTGAATGAAATTACAACCACTGCAATTTGATACATACTTTTTTATCGTTATGTCCCATAGTATTCCAGGTAATTGCTAGACGTTTTGTGAGATCTTGTTTAGTAGGTTCACCTTCGCCTGACATAATTATTTGATCAAGTACAATTGGTCTCTGTTCTTGACAAAACCTGAAAAATGGGTTTGCTGGTCTTTTTGGTAGATTAGGATCTTTCTTTTCAGTAGATTTGATGTTGGAATTTTTCTTTCCATTTGGTGTGTCTACAGCTCCTTGATTCTACAAAAATGGTTAAGTTTAATAAATGTATACTCACAGATAATTTTTAAAGAATTACTTTTAAATTAACTATTTCTGGTAAAGGTAATTCTGTTCCTAGGTCTAATTTTAATTCAGCCTCCCTCCAATTGTCTTTGTGCATGTCTAATCTATCCATAATAAATCTGAAAGTACAAAGTCAGAATCACAGTGTCATGTAGACTTGAGCATAATTACATATAGACACACATACCTACGTTCCACGCGCACACGCCTTAACTGTTTTGCAACCTGGTGTATCCTATGCACGAGCCGCTCATTGTCCTAGAACACATACCACAGATACTATAAATAAATGTAATATTAAGCAGAAGCAGTATAAATATATTATCATATAGGTAAAATCATACAAGATAAACTATAAGATATTGATGGAGGTCATTAAGATTGCAACAACAGGTTGGATTTGGCAACGATTATGCAACAGCGGATAAAATCACATTGAACTTTACCTGCTGTATGATTTGACATCGGTTTAACAGAGCGGAAAATTGGTTTTTATAGGATTTCTGCTTTTTTTCGGAACGTTCGTGGGGTTGTTCCGCATGCACCGCGGTGACAGCGCTTGGAGTAGTTGTCGCCATTGTGGCCACCACAGTCGATGCTTGGTCAGAGCTTTCCATCGGCCCGTTCATCGTGACTTGACCGGTACAATCATCACGGCAACATTCACGGTAGTTCGAATCGTCGTTCTTGGTTAGCACCGAGTGCAATCGAAATGACATCGAGGATGGATCGGCAGGAAACGGTGGACAACGAATGATCGAAAAGGACAAAACAACGGAGACGGCGTCCGACCAATTGTTATCAGATGTGATAAGTAATACTGTCCGTTGGGCTACATTTTCATTCAATACTTGCGCAGTATCCACAATATTTAGTATCGGACGCACAACAATATTGCACAATATCAATTATTGCGCAATAATATTGATCGTGTAGGGCTCGCTTAACAATCATCACCGTGTTGATAATGGTCGGTACTCCGGTGTCTTTCTATTCGTAGTCGATTAGAGCCAATAGTAGATTACTATCTATAAACCTTGGATTAGAGTCATCACGTTATCATTTTGTTGTTATCACCCAAAATTTATTAATAATAGGTACTTATCACGGTTAAAGATATATATACATATCTTTAACCGTGGTACATATAAATTAATCACAGAAAAGATTTCATCTATTCTGTGGATTAATTAACCAAATCTATAAATTTAAATTAGAGATTCTCCATGTCCACATGTAAAGTGATTGGTTCATACTTCGAAGTCTTAAACATCAACGAACTGAAATATAAATGTATACATATTTTGAAATTTACCTTCAATTATTTATTTTGAAAATAAAACTTCATAATCTGTATTATCTTTAAAACCACCTATATGAAATATTTCCAATGTTTGTTCAATTTTGTAGTTTATGAACTAGTGAGGATTAAATAATATGAATGGGATATTTCATTGTTAATACATCTATATGTATAGATACTTATTTTTTTTTAGTCCTCTACTTATATAAGCTAGGATTCTTTAATTATTTTTATTAAAAAAGTTTTAGGAAAATCATATACAGTTAATACAAATTCCATTCAATGGGATTATAATCGATTTTAAATCATTCTCAACAAGTTTATTGGAATTAGGTTTTGGTTTTGTTGTGGCCAAATTAATAAAATGTTAAGGAAATTATTAAACAATGTCTATATATTAGTTGTAAATAACGGTTGAAATCATTTAAAAACACGAAATGTTAACAATTAAATATGTCGACATGAGAAAACTGTACGTACACTCGAACGTGAAGAATTGCCAATTAAACGCACGGGCTGTCCGTTTTATAATTAAAGAGCATGTTTATTATGTACGTATAAACGGAGACCTCACGATAAGTCCCAAGGGGGGGTTCGGGTCCGGACTCTTCTATTGAAATTTCCAGATACTCAACGATTTAATAATAAATAGTATAATAATAGTATATAGTGTATTTTAATTTCCCATTTATTAGATAAAATAAAATTTTGGACCTCCCCCCCATAAAAAATTCTTGGGTACGTTCCTGGTAAGTCCAAAGACGAGTGTAGTTTAAAAGAGTGCTAACAACAAAAATGATAACGTGATGGTCCATAATCACGGACTGCGAATACCCGGCGCTGCGCCGTGATAGCAGTGCAGGGGTCGTCGCGGTCGTTGTTGTCGAACTAACCGTTCCGGTATATAGAGTTATTGCTCTATGTTCCGGTACCGTAGCACTGTTGGATGTTGGTCAACTTTTCACCGTGGTGCAAATGTTCTAAGGAACGCCGAGCAAGAAAGACAAAAAGCTGCCGATTCCCTCTCCCCGCCCTGCCCCTCCAAGTGAAACAGCTGTGGTCGACGATCGTTGCGGCGGCCGCGGTGCAACATTTGCGACTTGTGTCGATTCCGAGAACCGCGCGGCTCCACGCGAAACCCATCGTCGGTTTTCGTTCGCAGATCACGGGCACCTGGTGCGCACACGCACTCGCATTCTGTTATATGAATTATCTGTCTCACACACTCGGTTGGTACACACTCGTCCCGTTCTTATTACCAGTTGTTCTCGACGTGTTGTCTCGTTAAACGTTTCCAAATCGATCTCGCAATCCGTTACCGCCGTCCGAATACATCGTTCACTGTGCACCCGTTACGTATTTACAACATACACATACACATAGTTGTTTACAATTTTTTCTTACACGTACTCGTTATTTGTGTATATACGTTCATGTACGTCTCTGCGTATCGGGTACATCTTAAACAGTGAATTTTACCTCTCAGCAAACCGTATCCGTTTAGTACCGTTCCACGGTACGGTTTCGAGTATTCCATTACAGAACGCGAGTGCGTGTTCCGGCCACTCGAGAATTTGAAAAATGTGCTTCGACCGCGGTTTCTAGCGAAAGGTAAGCCATACTTAAACTTTTACTGAACGTTAATGTTGTGTTCGTCCTGTGTACCTGATTGGCCGTCCAACGGACTTCGATAAACGCTCTTGTCGGGGTACCTTAAAATATCACAACTATGGGCACTATTTTGTAGGTATAACTACACAATTACAGACACCTATACCTATTGGTACGATGTGTTGGCGTTGATACATGTGTCTGTTTGAGATTACTGGGCTAATGAACCGGGTCTGCGTAATAGGTAGCAGCAAGTCGATAAAAATTATCTGTTATTAGAAGTACCAGCCGACTATTGTATCCTTAATATAATTTTTTTTAATTTCCTCACAATGATCACATGTTTTTCACTACAGAACTTCTGATATAGTATCACAGTGTTCTTTGTAATGCCTTGCATGATTAGATAATATATGCTAGGTACAACATGCCCATTGTGCTAGGCATTGTTGTATAGTGCGGTGCTGTTATGCAATGAGTCGATTCATTTCAATACAATATTATACTTGTACTTGGGCTTAAATTTATTAACCGTATAGGTATTGTTTTCATATTGATTTGTATTTATTTACCTTCAGACTATTTTGAATAAATTGCTATCTTATATCAATTTATTTCTATCCCCTATTGTATGTTTAATAAATGCAATTAAAAACTTATTTATTATCTAAGTAATCTGTAAATTGTATTAATTATAAAATTTAAAATTATTATTATAATATTTACTATGAGTGTAAGATCTTGTAATTCAATTTCTTGTTCTGAGCCCAGTTGTGGGCGTATACAATTATATAAATAAATATAAATATATCACTTGATCTATATTATATATCTACTTATATTATATATACAGTCTAGTCGCGATAACTCGAAAAACTTGACAATTCGTATTGTGTTTTATTCCCCCAGGAAATTCTTCCACTATAAATTAGTTAGATATCTCAAAGTGAATTTTTATCCCCCTTCAACTTCGAATAATCGCGACTTGACTGTATATATATATATATATATATATATATATATATATATATATATATATACATATATACATATATATATATACATATACCTATATATTATACTTTATATCTATACTTAGGTCAATGATTTATGTACAGGAATTTAGCTACATTAACTGACTGTTAATACACTTAAATAAAAGTAATTGGATGTTAATAAAAACTATCTTAACCAAAAATTAACTTAACACTTTTTTATTTTTATTTTTTTTTTTATTAATTTTTATTTTGAATGGATATTGTTTATTTTTGTTAAATAAATCATTTTTTGAAGAATTTTTGTTTTAATTAGACACCATGCATCTTGTTAGAGGTTCCACCTTTTTCATTCACATTATTTTGGGTTTTTATCAGTAGAACGGAATGACATTTGTGCTCTTTTATCAAATTTTTAAGATGATAATTTATTGCATTTGCCAATCAATTTCAATAAAGTTTATTTATTCTAAAAATTTTAGTTTTTCGTTCATTTATTTTTTTTCTTTAAATTTAAAAAAAAATCATCATTCATCACATTCACATTGGTTTAAAACTATTATATATTTTATAGAAATGACTACTATAATTTATTTTAGATTGTTATATAGGAGTATGGAAAAATCTCTTCTTCCAGAAAAACAGATGATGGACTAATGCCAAATATGTCATGTTTTCATTCATATTTTCCTTGTTTTGTATACATAATGCTTATTAGTAGAACAAATGCAAATATTTATAGTTAATTTATCCATGTTATTTGAAAAAAGTAAATAAGTATTAATTTTTTAACATTACAACCCATGTCATATCCATTATTTAACACTTATTAAATATCCAATTAAAATAATTAATCATATTTAATTTATTTAATAATCAAATATAAATGAAATGTAAATGTATTAATGAAACTACTAATTATCTACTAATCTTTATTAAATTGTACTACCAAGAGTCTAGAAGTTGACATAGGTGAAATTTAGCATTACAAATTCCAAAAAAAAAAAAAAAAACTATTGGAAATAAAGAAACGAATAAATGAATAACTCTTGAGTAGTTTAAAGAATTGTTGACAGTGTCAATATTTTATAGAATTTCATTATTTTTATCTAGAAACATAAAAATTAAATGAAATTATTAAAAAAAATCCACCTCACCATAATTGAATTAAATTTTGTAATTTTTTCTAGTTCTCCAAAAATTGTATGAATCATAAAACTATTTTGACATAAAAAAAAAATAAATATAATATTCTCCCAATTCTATTATTAAATCCTTATTAATGAGATGTAACTCACTTTAACTCACCATTTTTAAATACTGGAGTTACTAGAAAGCCTGAACACTCATTATAATAAGTAATTATTATAAAACTATTAATAATTAATAAAAAAAAGTTAATGAGTATATATATATACTTATTTAATATTTTTATCTATTCTATTAGCTTATATATAAATTGTACAAACTGACCAGCATAATGATTAGTTTCTAGACCACTTGTTTTAAATGTATTCTTCTCGGAGTCCCTATCTGTTTTGTATATTGGAAGACAGTAGTTAGACTTTTATATATGTATATATATGGTTAAAAAACGTATGTACAATTAATTTATAACTGTTCCCTGCATAGATGTCTTACAGTCAAGACTGAAAATTAGCATTTATGTATATCGAAATAATAAATTCAACACACACGACAGATGTGATACGAAGAAACTGATATAGTTAAATAGTTCGGTACAAACAGCTATGTTTAAAAGTTATACGTATACATAGTGATACGAGTTTGTATTATACAGTGGTATAAAACTGTATTATACAAGGTATTATACACGTGGTATAAAATTATTTTATATAGACAGTATTAATAATGTAAATATATAGGTATAATGAAATAGTATATAACTATGAAAATATTAAGTATAATTTTCTCTTTATTTCTATTTAAAAAATATGTATTTCTATGTATAACATATGTATGTATCATAATTGCAAATCGATAGCATGTTTAAATATTAATTTGGTGAATTTAGTGAATAATTCTTGTATTATATGTTTTTTTAATTTTTTCTAACTTTTTAGCCATTTTCTTCAATTATTCCATTTTAAAATAATTTATATTTTATAATTAACAATTGAGTGATAACCTTTGTTAAATTCCTTATGGTTTAAGGTAATGCAAGGTTCTATACAGTATTATACTAAAAATAAATAAAATACCGTATTTTAATATCTTTACGTTTACATATATATGACATTTAGACATTTAACAATGTTTAATACCAGATAACAATTATTATATCGATAAGATTAGAGTATAGACGATACATTTTAAAATTGTATGATGTAATTTGAAAATATAAATTGGGCCAGATAAAAAAGGCTTGAGGGCCGAATGCGGCCCGCGGGCCGCTAGTTATAACTACTAGCTTATAGTATAAGTCAGTGGTTCTCAATCTTTTTAGGACCTCGATCCTAATTTTCTTCCAAAAATCTATCGCAACCCCATAGTTTTACATTTACAGAATCATTAAAAATAATTTCAAAAAACAAATTTTTTCTATTTAATTACTTATTTACTACTTTATAATAATAATAATAATAAAGTATTTTTTATTATTATTATTATTAATATTTAAATATTTAAATATTTTCTTTTATAGTTTTATAGTCTATACAATTTAAAAAAACATAAATTTCTTACAATCTGTATAATTAATAAAACTTCTCGCGACCCTCCAAAAATTGACTCGCAACCCAAAATTTGAGAAATGCTGGTATAAGTAATACTATATCGATAATGAATAATATTTTATTATTACGCTATCATAATATCGACAATATCGTCTATTTTTGGCAAGATGATACTGGTAAAGAGGAATTATTTATAGTAACACTCGAGTTCGATTAATACCGTCGATTACGATTACGAATTTACGTTGAAATATTTTTACCTACTGAGTATTTAAGATATAGCTATAAAACTGTTTTCAATTACAAAAAATTAATATTTATTTATTTATTACTAGGGCTAGGATTATATGCAATAAAAAATTGTATACTCGTATTATACATTTACCAAAATATGCAAAAACAAATTTTTATTATTTCTATATTATAATATATATATATATTGATAATTTATCATAACTTGTTATTATTATATTAAATATTAGTTTATAAGTCGTCTCATGAAGTGAAACACTTCTGTATTGTCTCACAATATAATTATTAAATATCTGCATGGGTCAGGCCCTTAAAATTGGAATCCAAGATTTGATGTCAGGATTTTAAATTTTTAAATCTATTACTATCCGGGCAGGTTTGGGGTTTTTCAGGATGTAAACAATTTTGTATAAAAATTCAATTTAAGTGATTAAACATTCATTAGGGCCAAGCCGGCCTTTGAAAAATATCTTTAAGGCTTTAGGCCTGTTTCGTAGCCGAACGTTCTTACGTGGCGTTTTTAAACCTACAATGTTCAAATTCATACGGGCCCTCGTCAGTTCGACGCATATGAACTTAGTCAGTGTAATTTGAAAACTTCGCGAGCGATACGCGCTGCTGTAAAACGGGCGTTATACCTCAGCAGAAAATCCGGACCGGACCGGGCCTAACATTTTTGGCTGGTGCAGATCTCTAATACGTCGTTAAATAATGTGCAAATATTTACATTGGTCGTCCGATCAAGATAAGATTATATATGTAGTATATTTACAACGATACAAAAAAAAAAAAAAAACGTTCCTTAAATAAATACCATTTAAAATTAGCAATATTATAAAAACTTGAAAGTTTAAGTTTAAAAATTAACAAAATTAACAAGATTCTCGAAAATCTACAAATATGAAATTATATGATTTATGTTCAAAATATAGAGGAAAAAAAATGGTTCTATTTAATCGACAATAGGCCATATCGTTGTCATACTGAAAACCAATAAATTTGTACTTAAGGAAAAAAATATGTAAATGCATATATCCCTAGTTATTACTTATTAATA